CTATGGTCTTTGGCTTGGAAAGCTAATCTTAATCTGTTTGGATAAAAAATGATTAGTGTTATATCTTCTTGATAAATTGTTCTTGTTTTTTTTTTTTTGTTTGTTTGTTTGTTTGTTTCCTATTCAACTTTAAAACTTATTTTCAAAGTCTTACCATAGAGAACACCAAGAATTCTCCTAATTATTTCTCTTGATTTGTATTGTTTAAATAAAAAGATCAATAATTAGGATCTTATACTATAAATCTAGAGGCCTGGTGCATGAATTCGTGCACAGGTGGGGTTCCTCGACCTGGCCAGCAATCCGGGCCAATCAGGGCTAGCCACAGGAGGTTAGCTGTGGGAGCACACTGACCACCAGAGGACAACTCCTGCATTGAGCAGTGCGTCATCATAGTGACTGATCGACTGGTTGTTCGGTTAAATGATTGTAACGGTCATTTAGGCTTTTATATAGATAGATGATAGAGATAGATAGATAGATAGATAGATACAGATATATAGATATGATTCTTCTAATCCTTAATAACACATCTTAATTTTCCCCCTTTGTATAAAAAATGCCCACTAAATAATCCATAGTGAAATTTATTTTAATATATTTTTATTGATTTCAGAGAAGAAGGGAGATGGAGAGAGAGAGATAGAAACATCAATGATGAGAGAGAATCATTGATCGGCTGCTTCCTGCACACCCCACATTGGGGATTGAGCCCACAACCTGGGCATAATCCCTGATCAGAAATCAAATTGGTGACCTCTTGGTTCCTGGGTCTATGCTCAACTGCTGAGCCACACCCAGCTGGGCCATAGTGGAATTTATCAATAGATAATATTGTACAGTAGGAATTATTCTTGAATACCACAATTAAGTAGCCTTTCAATTACTTCTTATTTTGAATGATCAAAATAATCATTAAAGATTCCAAATAATCATTAAAGCAACACTGCAGAAGTACCTTGAAATTCACTACTCACATAAAGTATTATTTGGTAATGGAGAAGATGTTGGAGTAGATTTCATGGAAACAATCACAAAACATGAGGTATTCATTAGACATAATTTAACCCTTTGCACTCCGAACCATTCTGGACATTGGCTACCAGCTACTCGACGCTACTTTGCGGCAGACACGTGCGTTGAATTAACTCAATTCCACGTAATCACTAATAAACTGCAATGTCCCCCCTGAGAGGGGACATCCGCGTGATATGCTAGAATTCTGATGTCCCCTGAGAGGGGACAGCGGAGTGCAAAGGGTTAAATAGCATACAAAGTCACTTCATAGAAAGTGTTTTAATGGAGAATTTGTTTATGAATAAGATACTGAATCCTTTCCTTAAAAATAGCTGGAGGAAGACATTTCTCATTATTTATCTCTCAATTAAAAGTAGTCTAACATATAAGAATCCTATTATATGTATCCTTCATTTACCAAAGTAAAATCTTATTACTTGGACTTTACCATTTTAAAAGTATTTAAAAATTCAGCAAACTTTACCTTTGCTGAATAAACCTTTACCTAGGAAGTGCAAAATAAATTGCAAAGGAATCACTATAACACTTGGGAACTGTTCAGATGTAAATTTATTTATAACTGTCTTTTATTAAAGCTCTAAAAAAAAAAAAAAGTTCCAACTACAACATAATTTCATCTTTATTTATGTTGAAACTTTACACTTGATAGATTTCCCAAAATCTGTCAAGTGTATAGTCAAGATTCTTTGGAATTATTTTATGGTTTAATTTTATTTTATCATTTTAAAAATAATTCTGCCTTAGCCCTGACTGGTGTGGCAAAGTTGGCTGGGCATCATCCCATGTACCAGGAGGTTGCTGGTTTGGGCACATGCCAGGGTTTCGGGTTTGATCGTTTAGGAGGCAGCTGATCAGTATTTCTCATTAATGTTTTTCTCTCTGCCCCTCTACCTTCCTCTCTTTAAAATCAATAAAAACATATTCTTTACTATAATAACAACTAGAGGCTCAGTGCATGAAATTAGTGCATGGGCCAGGGAGAGGAGGCCCACTCAGCCTGGCATGCACCCTTTCCAATTTGGGATCCCCCTCACAATCCAGGACCGCTGACTCCTAACCACTCATTTGTCTCCAAAGGGCTCTGCTAATACTACAGCCAAGGTGTGGAATTCTTCCTCCATGGCACACAGCCCCAGGAGACCTTCCAAGTTAGCCAAAAAGGCAACCTCAGCATTAACGGGATGGCATCCCTTTGCTGAGAAATATAGAGAGGCTAGATGGGGATTTTGTGAAATTGTGGAGCCTTGCAAATTAGGTGAGCTTTCAATCTCTCTTTGAAAGGGCAGCGAAGAGGACCCTTAGGCTGCCAGAGCAACAGCGAAGGGTAGGCACATTCAAAAACAGAAAAACTTAAATATACAGACATGAAAATCATATTGGGAAACTGAGGGCAGAGCCCCAGGAAGAATGCAAAAATCATCAAAGAGCCATCATCTATCTTGATATATGTTTGCAAACAACACATAAACAATTTCAGCTAATGGCACATGAAATGCAAAATAGTTCTGTTGTAAGGTTCTTTTTGGCCATCCTTAAAGTATAATGAAATCCAGCTGGTGGAAAGCTATATCTTCTAGCATTAGACCCCACCACTGATGGGAGGATCACCTAGATAGCCGCCCCCATGTCATCCCATGATGGCGGCCCCTACATCGTCCCAGATGTCAATTAGGCTGGCAGGGGAGTATTTAAGGGGTAATCAGGCTGGCAGGCAGAAGCAGTTAGGCACAGGCAGGCAGGCAGGCAAGCGAGTGGTTAGGAGCCAGCAGTCCAAGATTGTGAGAGGGATGTCCAACTCCTGCAGGGATTGGGCCTAAACCGGCAGTCAGACATCCCCTGAGTGGTCCCAGATGTGCACAAATTCCATGCACCAGGCCTCTAGTGTATATATTGATATAATATATTTTTAATATGTTCACCTGTTGATAGGCATTTGGGTCATTTCCATATCTTAACTATAATTAATGCTATAGTTAATAGGAGCATGCATATAGATTGGGTATAGAAGAAGCCAAATCCTTAAATGTGTGTTAACAGTTAAATATTTTTCACTGAATATACACAATAGTGTTAAACACTTGGTTACATTCTGAAGCAGTATACTTATAAAACCAAGCAAGTGAAGTGTTATTTTGGTGGTTAAAAGTAGTGTAGTTGTGTTTTTACTAAAAGAAAATGAGTCCAGTCAATTCTAACTTGAAATTAAGCAATTTTAGCATTAAGAAATATATGTATTAGGCATTAGTAATATTTTACATTCATAATACTATAATATCCATATGTCTCAATGAGCTGTATTGTATCCAAGTATTATACCTCTTTTTCTTTTTTTCCTGAATTTCTCAAAGTTTATACCATAGAAATGAAAAGTTAAGATTTAAATAAGATGTAAGAAGGATTTCTCCCACTTTAGTTGTTTAAGGGATAGAAAAAGAAGTTATCTAAAGAAATTTGGCTCACTCTGTTTCCTAAAGGTTTTAAATTGTAGGGTCTGAGTGAATTTAGACCTTAAGTAGTCTCAGAATTCCTACTTTCTTAGGCATTTCATTATCTGCTGGAATGGTGGTAGGTGTGGCTACTGAGTGGCACCTGAAGCAGTCTGTCAGGAAATGCAATCTTTGATTTACACATTTTCTTATTAAAAAACAGGTTTCTATGAGAAGTTATTTTTCTTCTCTCTGCTGTATGGATTGGTGCTGTTTATAGAATTTCTTCTTAAAGAGATTAATGACAAATAATCACCTTGATTTAGATAGACTTTTCTGGAAGCAATTACTCATCTTCTTTTCTTATCTATTCTAAATTTCTTTTCCACTTTTTTACATGTTGATGTGCTTAGCTTAGTGTATGCACACAGTTATATCTATATGTACTATAGCAACCATATTTTCTAAACTAAAAATTGGTGCAAGTATCCTAACACATTTTTTTAATTGTTTTTCATTTTTAAATATTTTAAAAGATTTTTCAAATCAAAGATTTTATTTTAATTTAGTTATACTTACTGATACAAATTCACAAAAAAGAAATAGCATGGGTGAGAAGATGACTATTTTATATTAGGAATGTCTTACAAAAATAAGGTTACACATTTACCAGTAACATGTCTTCTGCATCTGATAGGAGTGGACCTCATATTAAAATTTTTAATAGAACACATTTTAAAAGTCGATGGGATAAATGGTGATGGAAAAAAAAAATTTTAAATCGAAAATAAAAATTGACATTGATAGATTATAACATTGATTGATATGAATGAGCACATAAAGTACCATTCTCTGCTGTTTTTAAAGTTATGGTAAAAATTAGGGATTAAATAAGCTTGTTATTAATATCTAAATGTTTATGAATATGAATAAGACTGTCAATACTTTGCACAGGCCTACAAAATAATCTTATCCTTGTTAGGGCTTTCATTTCTTTGAAAACAGAAATTCTAAAAATTAGTTAATGGAATATCTGGTGTTTGGAAGAGGATGCCAGAAGTGGATCTGTTCTGTAGGCCTCACCCACATTAAACTCATCAAATGGGGCCATGCCATGTGCATCTCTGTCCCTCATGCACTTCTGCCTGTTTTTTCTAATCTGTCTGTAATATAAGGAACTAATTCCAGCTCCCTTATAGAGCTATATTGCTATAAAGTAGACTAAGCATTCACATTACTTGGCAGAAGTGTGCCTATGAAAATTCAAAAACTTGGTGGGCTTTGGAAAATAGTTAAATAATATAAAAATATTTAATTGATTTGATCATTTTAATGATATTTAATTCATAGCATTTCCAACAGAGATTTCTAATATAATAGGAATGGCAATAACATAAAGAAGTGACTATAATGCATATTTATGTATATTATAGTATTTATGTAAAGTACAAGTATTTTTTTTTTTTGCTTATAGATACCATAGTATAATTCTAATTCTGCACCTCCTTAACTATTTTCTGTGTTTATATTTTTTAGAACACTGATATTTGCATTTAATGAACAAAAGATGAAAAAGGAGACTCAAGATATTCACTAAGGATTATATCTGCTTGCTGCTGCAGACCTATGTATTAAGGAATTCTGCTTTTTCTTGCTTAAGAGTTGATCAGCTCTGTGTCAAACTGCATCGGAGTTTGCTTGCCTCTTATCTTGTCATTGCCAGAAGAAATCCTGTTCAGTATGTAACAGTACATCACTGTCTAATTGCTATGGAAGGTGATAAACTGACACTCACTTATTAAAGCTATATCTCACTCACCCACGGAAAACCATTCTTTAAAGTGAACAGAAACCTAGCCCTCGTGACACTTCTATTGAACATGACTCATGGAGAAGAGCTTGTCTCTGATGTGCACCAGGATTCTGTTGTTTTAACTTATCTAGAAGGATTACTAATGCATCAGGCAGCAGACGGATCAAGTACTGCCATTGACAAAAAGTCTGCTGGGCATAATGAAGATCAGAACTTTAACATTTCTGGTCATGCATTTCCTACCTGTCAGAGTAATGGTCCAGTTCTCAATACACATACATATCAGGGATCTGGAATGCTGCATCTCAAAAAAGCCAGACTGTTGCAGTCTTCTGAGGACTGGAATGCAGCAAAGCGGAAGAGGCTGTCTGATTCCATCGTAAATTTAAATGTAAAGAAGGAAGCTTTGCTGGCTGGCGTGGTTGACAGTGTGCCTAAAGGCAAACAGGATAGCACATTACTGGCCTCTTTGCTTCAGTCGTTCAGCTCTAGGCTGCAGACTGTTGCTCTGTCACAACAAATTAGGCAGAGCCTCAAGGAGCAAGGATATGCCCTCAGTCATGATTCTTTAAAAGAAGAGAAAGATTTAAGGTGCTATGGTGTTGCATCAAGTCACTTAAAAACTTTGTTGAAAAAGAGTAAAGCTAAGGATCAAAAGCCTGATACCAATCTTCCTGACGTAACTAAAAATCTCATCCGAGACAGGTTTGTAGAATCACCTCATCGCATTGGACAAAGTGGAACAAAGGTCATGAGTGAACCCTTGTCATGTGCTGCGAGATTGCAGGCTGTTGCAAGCATGGTGGAAAAAAGGGCTAGTCCTGCCACTTCACCCAAACCTAGTGTTGCTTGTAGTCAGTTAGCATTACTCCTTTCAAGTGAAGCTCATTTACAGCAGTATTCTCGGGAACATGCTTTAAAAACACAAAATGCAAATCAAGTGGCAAGTGAAAGGCTTGCTGCTATGGCCAGATTACAAGAAAATGGCCAGAAGGATGTCAGCAGTTTCCATCTCTCAAAAGGAATGTCAAGCCATCTTAATGGTCAAGCAAGAACATCATCGAGCAAACTAATGACTAGCAAAAGTACGACATTTCAAAGTCCGATGGGTATTATTCCTTCTTCCCTCAAAAATGCAGGCTATAAGAACTCACAGGAAAGAAACAACATAAAACAAGCTGCAAATAATAGTTTGCTTTTACATCTTCTTAAAAGCCAGACCATAACTGCACCTATGAATGGACACAACCATAGTGAGAGAGGAAGCATTTTTGAGGATAGTAGTACACCTACAACTATTGATGAATACTCAGATAACAACCCTAGTTTTACAGATGATAGCAGTGGTGATGAAAGTTCTTATTCCAACTGTGTTCCCATAGACTTGTCTTGCAAACACAGAGTTGAAAAACAAGAACCTGACCAACCTATTTCTCTGGATAACTTAACACAATCCTTGCTGAACACTTGGGATCCAAAAGTCCCCAACATAGATGTTAAAGAAGATCAAGATACCTCAAAGAATTCTAAGCTAAATTCACACCAGAAAGTGACACTTCTTCAATTGCTACTCGGCCATAAGAATGAAGAAAATGAGGAAAGAAACAACAGCCCTCAGGAAGTGCAGAGTGATGTAACAAAATTCAATAAACGGATGTATGCGAGGACTTCCGTAATAGAAAGCCCCACCACACATAGGACTACTCCTGTGAGCACTCCTCCATTACTTGCATCTACCAAAGCAGAGTCTCCCATCAATCTCTCCCAGCACTCTCTGGTTATCAAATGGAACTCCCCTCCATACGCCTGCAGCACTCAGTCTGAAAAACCAATAAACACCACATCTAACCACTTGATGGATCTTACAAAGAGCAAAGAGTCGCAAGGAGAGAAACCAGTCCAGAATGAAGGTACACAGAACTCTGCGACTTTCAGTGCCAGTAAACTGTTACAAAATTTAGCGCAGTGCGGAATGCAGTCTTCCACTTCAGGGGAGGAGCAGAGACCCAGTAAACAGCTGAGTGTAAATACAGATAAACCCATAGCTATGATCGATAGACTAAGTAGCCCTCTGCTCTCAAATAAAACAAATGCAGTTGAAGAAAGTAAAGCCTTCAATAGTCAGGCAACGGATTCTGAACCAAGACTTTCTGGTTCTGAAATAGAAAATCTGCTTGAAAGGCGCACTGTTCTCCAGTTGCTCCTGGGAAACCCCAACAAAGGGAAGAGTGAAAAGAAAGAGAAAATTCCTTTGAGAGAGGAAAGTACTCAGGAACATACAGATAGAGCTTTAAGTGAACAAATATTGATGGTAAAAATAAAATCTGAGCCTTGCGATGACTTACATATTCACAATACAGATGTGCACTTGAGCCATGATGCTGAGAGTGCCCCATTCTTAGGTATGGCTCCCCCCATACAGAGAAGTGCAACTGCCTTACCAGCTTCCGAGGACTTGAAATCGGAGCCCCTTTCACCTCAGGATTTTTCTTTCTCAAAGAATGGTCTGTTAAGTCGACTGTTGAGACAAAATCAAGAGAGTTACCTGCCAGATGATCTGGACAACAGTCACAGACATAGTGAACTGACACTTCTGGAATCAAAGAATCTTTGCATGGTCCCTAAAAAAAGGAAACTTCATACTGAGCCATTAGAAAATCCATTTAAAAAGATGAAAAATAGCATCCTCGATGCTGCCAACAGTCACGGAGCCCCAGAGGTGCTGTATGGGCCCCTGATTAACCAGCAAGAGCTGAAATTTAGCAGAAATGATCTTGAATTTAAATATCCTGCCAGTCATGGTTCAGCCAGTGAAAGTGAACATAGGAGTTGGGCGAGAGAGAGCAAAAGCTTCAATGTTCTGAAACAGCTGCTTCTCTCAGAAAACTGCATGAGAGATTTGTCCCAGCACAGGAGTAACTCTGTCGTTGACAGTAAAAAGAGAGGACACAAAAATAATGTGACCAATAGCAAACCTGAATTCAGCATTTCTTCTTTAAATGGACTGATGTACAGTTCTTCTCAGCCCAACAGTCCCATGGATAACAGGACATTTCCATACCCAGGAGTAGTAAAAACTCCCATGAGTCCTCCTTTTCCTGACCACTTGGGCTGTGTGGGGTCTAGACCAGAATCTGGGTGTTCCATGACCAGTGACAAGGGACCCATTAAGTGGGTTATCGCAGACGTGGATAAGAATGAGTATGAAAAAGACTCTCCGAGACTGACCAAAACTAACCCAATACTGTATTACATGCTCCAGAAAGGAGGCAATTCTGTTACCAGTCGAGAAACACAGGACAAGGACATTTGGAAGGAGCCTTCAACTGCTGAAAATGTCTCACAGGTTACAGTCAAAGAAGAGTTACTTCCTGCTGCAGAAACTAAAGCTTCTTTCTTCAATTTAAGAAGCCCTTATAATAGCCATATGGGAAACAATGCTTCTTACCCACATAATGCAAATGGCGAAGTTTATGGACTTATGGGAAATGTGCTAACAATAAAAAAAGAAACAGAATAAAATTTAACCTGCTATTCAGCTTTGGATCTTTTTAAACCTAATTAATTGAACTTGAGATCTGTATAAATAAGAGCATGATTTGAGAAAAGCATGGTATAATTGAAACTTCATTTTGAAGAGTATCGGTAATGTTTAAATATGCACACTGCTTTTTGCTTTACATTAGAGTTCATGAGGAAACTACTGAACTATTGGTTGTTTAACACTTCTGTATGCATCAGATAACTGTGAGTAGCCTATGAATGAAATCTTTATGATCACAGATAATAGGCATAAGTTAAAATGTAAATTTCCATCCATGGTGGATAAATGCATTTTGCTGTCTTTATGAGGGTACTCTATTTTTATTTCAGAAGTCAGCTTACATAACATTTTTTAAAGTCCAAATCGTTAAATAACTCTTTAAAGGATAATTATTGAATTAAAAACCAAATTGTTAAATAACTCTTTAAAGGATAATTATTGAATTAAAAACCTAATGCTGATTCACTTTTCATTATCCAATTCAAAAATAAATTAGAAAAAAATGTGCTTACATTTTTCACTTTTGCTAAAAAAAAAAAAAAACCACAAACATTTATTTTTAACTCTTGGAAGGGGTTTTGTGGTTTCCAGTGTGTGTCCCCCATCCCAGTCCTTTGCAATATATATTTCTTTAAACCTTGTACTAATTAGTAAAAATTGATTACAATTGATGAAAGTTTGATAGATCCTTAAAAAATGGGCAGATTTCCATTTTTATATTTTAACTACTGTATTACTATTCCTCCTTTTACATAATTAGGAAAGTTAACATTTGTCTTCAGGTGGTTTTCTGAATAGCTGAATATTTAAGAAGTTGTTTTTAGCAGAACAAAATGGCTTCTTTTTGGGTAGATTTCACCATGTCTAGTAAAAGTTACTTCTTACCATTACTATGGTACCTGTGAGTTTATGACCAGGATTTCTTAAACTGCACTCAGACCACTTGCATTAAAACCATATCTGGAGTACTTGTTTTAAAATGCATATTCCTAGGTAGCGCCTCAAATCTACAGAACAAGAATCTCTGCTAAGTGTACCTGGGAGTCTTCTGTCTGCATCTGAACACCTTGGTGTTTCTTCTATACATTGAAGTTTGAGAACCGTTGCTAATAACCTTTCTCAGAACACAGGACTGTACAAAAAACAAAACTATTTGATGCCTGTATTTTCCCCAATAGTCACACATCAATGAAATATTTGCAATATTGTAGTTCATATATTACTGTTATATCTTTGGAAATCAGGTTCAGAACACTTTTTATGACCAAAAAAAAAAAATGGGTGGAGGGGACAACTTTCCTATCTGGCTGAACATCTCAGGAAAATCTGTGATTTATGTGTTCTAATGAGTAACATCTACTTAATTAGCCTTAGGGATGGAATAATAGGGCCACTTACCAAACTCAGGTGATTCTAGGATGGTTTAGAAACTTCTCTTGAATACATCCTTAACATCTGTTATATTAATTGTTTTAAGTACAGTATTGACAAAGATGGAAACATTTATTTCAAACCAAGAAAGGCCCTAAACTCAGATCAACTAAACAGAAAAGTTCAAAGGGCACATATATTGTACATGACAGTAGAATTCTACACAGTCACTCCATTGATCTATTTTAAAATAGTGGTTAAAAGTGAAAATCGATACTGTCTCAGAAGAACTTAATACATTATTGAGCCACCTGGGGTTTTGATCTTGAAACAAGTCATGTTTTTAAGTTCACTTTTTACAATCCACAATATACTCACCAGATTTTTTTTTAATTGTGAACCAGATTAGCTGATGTATCAAAAATTGTTATATAATCAACTAGTAATTAGAAGGAAATCTATTTGAAGTTGTTTCTAAGATTTTTATATTAAATATGGGTGTTATTTCCTAATATGATCAAACCCCATAAATGATTATTTTTTTCTCAGAATGATTTGTAAATAGTTACTGAGTATATTATAAATAATAATCAGGAGTGAATATTATGCTACATCCTGGAGAGAGGAAGTCATATGCTTTTTTCTGAAATGAAAATTCCACTGGCAGTGCATATATTCTACTCCATCCCATATTTGCTCTGTGGCAATAGTATTGTCTACACTATATAAAGAAGCTTTTAAACAAGTCATTTTTTTTTCCTGCCGTTATGAAATATCTAGAACCTTGGAGGCATGCTAGAAAAAAAAATGGACTTTTACAAGAGTGATAAATTTAGGTCAGGGAGAAGAACATCAAGGGCCAGCATTAAGCATAAATATTTTTTGTGTGTTTCTTTGGTTGGTTGGTTGTTTTTATTGTTAACAGTTGAAGGAATAAGGATATGTAATACATAAATAAACATGACCACACAGAATGCTGTTCTATTTTACTAAAGAATGTCCCCAATTTGAGTTTAAGATAATTTTAAAGAACAGCAGTGAGAAAGGGCATACATCCATAAATTCACTTTGCTTATGCAAATGTAGATACAAAGTACACAAATACACACATTCAAGAACTATTAAATATCTGGACAATTTCTTCCTAATTGAAAGGGTACTACAGCTCTCATTGACATCAGTAAGGTAGTATTACCTGTTTATTCCCTGCTGCATCTTACAGAAGAGTAAACTGGTGAGAGTATATATTTTATATATATATATTATATGTATATATATATATACATATATATATATAGACTTGTTACATGAAGATGTTAAAATCAGTTTTTAAAGGTGATGTAAATAATAATTTCCTTAATGAAAAATACATATTTTGTATTGTTCTAATGCAACAGAAAAGCCTTTTAATCTCTTTGGTTTCTGTATATTCCATGTATAAGTGTAAATATAATCTGACAGGTTTAAAATTTGTGCATGTATGTATACAGTTGCAAGTCTGAATACATGTATAGAATAAACCTTTTATTTAAGTTGTGATTACCTGCTGCATGAAAAGTGCATGGGGGACCCTGTGCATCTCTGCATTTGGCAAAATGTCTTAAGTCAAATCAGATGTTCATCCCAACATGGCAGTATTCCATTTCTGGACATGAATTCTGTGGTTTCAGCTTTGTGAAAGAATGTGCTTTGAATCCAAGGGTCTTAAAACTTTTTAAAATCAAGTCAACCACTTTTCAACATAGAGTTCACACAGCTACTTTCATGAATTTTAATCCCATTAGAAACCAATATGCAAGGAGTGTTTCAGTATACTGAAATACAGGCACATTACCATTCATGGTGTGAATTCTGGGGTTTACACAACCAATTTTGATGCGATCTCATTATATAATTTGTCATTTTTATTAGAAACTTAATTTCTTCATGTAATGTACATACCGCAGTGTGAATTTTGTTTTTTGTTTTTTAATCTTTTAGTGTTTACTTCCTGCAGTGAATTTGAATAAATGAGGAAAAAATGCATTACTTCTGGTTTGAAATTATTGTTTATTTTGTGGGTTTTCTCTGAACTTTAGTTTTCCATAAACAAAAAATCTGTGGTTGTGAAAATAGCAATAAGTCTTCAAGGATGGTTTGTCCTTCTCAGAAAAAAATAAAGACTAACGAAGAATGCGACCTGCGAGTTAGTTTATCTAGAGAGAGGGCAATTGAAGTGCATAGCTCAAAAACACAATCAGTCTATTGTCTGTGCTACCTAGCTTTAATTGTGTTATTTGGCAGGTAACTGGAATGACCACTGTAGAGTTTTAAAGTGGGAAAAAGTTTGTAAAGTGTCCAGATAAAATCATTTGATAGATATTTGTTTTAAGATAAGATTTTATTAGAAGTTTTTTTATCCAAGTTTCAGTGAGTATTATTTTTAAATAAAAAAATAAGGTTTACATCATTTTTCAAAAATGAATGTTTGCACACATACATAAGCAAATATATACTGTGTATATCAATGAGTACTTGAGAATGATGAGCAATATGCATATGTAATAAATAATAGAGACCAATTTATTTTTTTAAAAACGAACTGGGAATTTTTATTTTTATAAATATTTATTATTGACAATTTAGTTCAGGAGGAAGGTGTCTGGCACTAAAATACAATAGGACTATTAATATCTAATAGTGAACATTTGCAGCCTCTTCCCAACGGGTATATAAATACTGTCTTTAAAAAAATCCAAGCAATAGGAATGCATCCAGCTTTTCTACATTATTAAAATGTTGAAAAGTTAGACCCTGTCATATGTGTAGACCCTTTCAGAGCTCTACAAACATGCTTTGTTTATTGATTTATATGATTAAAAAGCATAACAATTGCATTAAGTAATATAGTATCTGAGAGGGATTTTTTTAAGAGAACCACCAATTAGTAATTCTTGACTATAGGGTAGTGCTGATGACTAAGAAATAAGGCAAGCCCCAAAATTCAAGGGTCCTGGTAGAACACAAAACATACTCGGGAGCTAGGCAGCAAGGCAAACATTTTTACTTCTACTTAGAAGGGTGTGCATGCCCTCTTTTTAAGTGTCTAAAAGTAAATATATAAACCTTTCCAACAATAACCCAGATTTTCAAATAGTGTGCCTCTGCTCCTGCAGTAGAATCAAGATTTTTTAGCCATTCTGGTCTTTTTACATCCTTTTTAATTGACATGAACACCTAGACAAGTTTCTATTTTCCAGTCTTTGCTTTTACCAGACCTCATTGGAAGATACTTTAAACTTTGGGAAAATTTTACAGTCCTTTTGGATTGTCCATTTTTTGCTGATAAAACAATTCACCTCTGAGATCATTTCTGGAAAGAACATGAGCAAGCATTGTATGGCCTTTGTTTTTTGACAGCTATACCAACAGCACAGTGTGGAGCCACAGTACAGGCAATCTAAAGACTGGAAGGATTGCCTCTGGCAGCCATTGTAGCTAATATTTTCATAAGCAAGCTGCAAATCCTTACAAGACTTTTAGCACCCCACTGTATGTGCCAGCTACCACTTATGGTCTTCCTTGCATTTTTACACCTTCAGCTCATTCTCCCACCATCTAACACCTTATTGCCAATTCTATTGCCAGTGTTTAAATCTTCCCTTCACTGTTTTCCTGAACACATCTTCCTTCTTGGCATCAGTACCTCCAGTCCTGTAACATTGTCTGCCTAAAATACCTCCCTCCTTTGCTCTCTATTCCTTGTAAACTTCTGTTTGTCTTTAAAATTTTAACAAAGATTATCTCAAACTAACCCACCCTGTCTGATTTTTCTAGTCACTGTGTTGTTCAGCTCTTCGCAATCCCATCATGTTATATAGACCTCCCTTACTACATTCATTAGAGTGGCTAACATACTTGTTTTTCTTCTAAAGGCAAGTAATGTGTGTTCTTAATGTAACATTTAGTACTGAATCCAAATCTTGACACATAGAAGTTATTCAATAAATGAATGCCTCGTTGGAGAATAAAAGATTTCTGGCCACACACAAATAAAAGACTGCCTTTCCCTTCCTGGACTCTCAAGCCAAGAAAGTAATTTATAAATAGGAACACATCTATTTCCCTGAAGGAACGCCAAGCCT